CCATGTGTCATTGATGACTTTTCCATTTGTGATGAGTTATATGCCACATGGAGCTTTGTGATGCATTATTTGCATGCAACAAAATTTACATGTCTACAGCAGCGCTGCTCTAGCCTTTCTCTCATCACTCATCAGTCTCTCTCTCTCTCTCTCTCTTGAAAGTCATCCATCTTCCAGTTGGTGGAATTAATATTGAGTCTATTTTTTAGTGTAGAATTGCATGGTTTATAAGACTTCTTAGCTTTTGATATATTATGTGTAATCTCTTAATGTACTTGGCACAATCATATAATCAGTTGACTTTACAGCTTAGTATAATCTTAATTAGCTTTTGACCTTTTTTATGTTCAGTTTATAAAAGTTGTTCTTCTTACATTTTAATTTTGTATGTAAATGGTCTAAAGCCGAACAGAAACCATTTGAAACCATATCGAACCAAATCAAACGGTTTGGTTTCATTTCGGTTTTGGCTTCAAAACCACACCGAATTGAACCGTAAAAGTTTTGGGTTTCGGTTTCAATTTCACTCAAAACTATACTGAACCAAACTATGCCCACCCTTAATGATAATGCTCCTCTATGGAAGTATTTTACAAAATATGAACCAAGTGAGGTGAAGGGTGGAGTGAATGTAAGTGTCAAGTGTAATTATTGTCAAGAAGATTTTCATGGGCCATAATCTAAAGTCAATTATCATTTGTTGAAAATCAAAGGAGGTGGGGTTAGACTTTGCAACAAAGTTACACAAAGTAATTCATTAAAAAGGAAACGAGTGATAGATGAGGCGGAGGTGAGGGTAAAAAATGCCAAAGCTAGAACAATTTTTTTGACCACCAAGGCCACCACATCAAGCAAAGTTGGCTCTTCAATTGCTACTACCTTTGATTTGGAATTTGATACATTGTTTGTACAATGGAAAGTGGACTTAGTCAAAAGAAAAGAAAGGGAGTTGCTGGATTTATTGATGAAAACTTTTAATTGTTGCATAGAGAGAATTTAGATGCTATTATTGCTATAAATGCTTGTAAGAATTTACATATGCTTGTAAGAATTCAATTCTGGGTTATAAGCCTTCAGGTTGAGGACTACACTTTTCCAAATGAAGAAGATTCACGTTAAGATAAAATTAAATCTAGTAATGATTTCGTTGAGAGAAAACGGTGAAGTGTGTGCATCAATGGATGGTCGGATTCTCAAAGAAGACCACTTATCAATATTATGGCCACTTGTGAAAGGTTCTAAAAGACGCTAGGCGCTAGTCGGGTGGCGGGTTGGGGCCTAGCGCCTAGGCGGCTAGGCGGGGTCTAGGTGGGCGCCTAGGCGGACTAGGCGGATTTAACTAAATCCATTATATTTCATGTAAATAAGTGTATGTTTATACTTAAAATATATATAATTTCATCATAAACTACAAAATAGAATGACACATATATTATGAAATATTGGAACATAATGAAAACATGGGGAACAAGCATATAATGTGTGCTCATTTAAGTATTCGACAAGTCTCTTACAATTTATTGAAAAAAAAATAAAATGCAAAATCAAAGTTATCTATTTTCTGCCTAAGTGGTCAATGCCTAGGCAGTCTAGGTGGGCATCTCAGTAGGTCTATGGGTCCTTTCTTAATTTTCAAACGCCTAAGCATTAATCGGGACGGTGACCAACCGCCTAGCACCTAGGCAGGGCCTAGGTGGCACTATGCAGGGATTTTTAGAACAGTGTGTAAAATTGGACCTATGTTTTTGAAGGTGGTTAGTTGTGAAGGTGAGACGAAGAATGTTCAATTCATTGCTAATTTACTCGATCAGTGCATTCATGAGATTGGACCACAATATGTAGTTCAAGTAATCACAATCAATGCAAGTTCTTGCAAAACAGGAAAAATAACAAATGCCAAATATAGATACATATTTTGGACTCCATGTGTAGTACATACACTAAATCTAGCTTTGAATAACATATGCACACTGGCGGCAAGTCTATCTAACAATGTGTAGGGTCAATGCATTTGGATTGCCGATGTTTGTGAAGAGTTTTTAGCAATTAAAAAATATATTATGAACCACCAAATGATGTTGGCCCTCTTTAATTCTTATTTAAAGATAAAGCTTCTTGCAGTTGCCGACACGATTTGCTTCCATGATTGTGATGATGAGGAGATATAAGGAAATAAAGCGTGACTTACAAGGAATGGTGATTAGTGAAGAATGAGATTCATATCAAGAGGATTGTGTGAACTAGCTAGAAGCATCAAAGAGAAAATGTTAAGCGACAAGCTTTGGTGTGACCGTAAATGCATACTTAGTTTTACATCTCCTATTTATTCTATGCTTAGAATTTGTGACATCGATATTCCGTGTCTTCACTTGGTTTATGAATGGTGGGATTGTATGATTAAATTTGTGAAAAAGGCTATTAATGAAAAAAAAAAAAAACAAGGAACTTGATGAGCAATCAGAATTCTTTTATATTGTGCATAAGGTGGCAATACAAAGATAGACCAAGAGTAGCACACCACTCCATTGCCTTGCACATTCTTTAAATCCAAGGTAACTTTCTTGAGAGTTTTAGTAAATTTATTTAATTGGTCTTAATTATTATAATTTTTTAATTTATCACTTACACGTATTATAGCAATGAGTAGCTTGTTGGTGCTCCCAATCGTGTTGCACTGAAAAAGGATGTAGAGATCTCAATAGAAAGAAGAAAAAAAAAGCTTTGAGTGTTACTTTGCTAATAGTGTGGAGAGAAGAAGTATCAATGAGGATTATGCCGCTTTTTGGCTAATCTTTATGATTTTTCAAGTAGTGATGTTATGAGTGATAGATTTCCAATGCAACCAGTGAAGTGGTCGTTCATCCATGGGGCTTCTACTCCAACTCTTCAAGATTTGAAGCTTCTTGGACAGTCTTGTTCCTCATCATGTTGTGAAAGAAATTGGTCATCATATAATCTTTTACAGCCTTTGAGGAGGAATTGGACAGCACCCCAAAGAGCCAAGGATTTGGTATATGTTCATAATAATCTTCGTCTAGGAGGACCAACCTATATTATAAAATGGTCACTTAAAGATGTGGGAGGGGATGGATTTGATCTTTGAATATGGAACATGCGGGTGTGCTCAAAATTGCAAACCTTTCACTTGTGAACCAGAACTAGAGGTCGTGATCTTTACTAATGACGACATTAAAGTTCAAGAGGAAATAGAAAGAAAGACTTGAAGACCATTAAGACTCGAATAATGTGTTGTTTTAACTATTTTTTTTGTGTTTTCATTATTATGTATCGTGAATGAATTTGTTGAATGCAAGTACTTTATGAATTCGAAGCATTGTTTTTGATATATGTGATATTTGTTATATTTTAATCGTCGGGTCCTAACTATGTCCATGTCCTTATTTTTTGAATTTTGTATTGTTGTCGTATCCCCATGTCGCCATATCAATATCTATTTCCATGCAACCTAGGCTGTCAGCCTGTCACCAGTATGGACTTTATTGACATGTCATGATGCCACTTCATCCACATAGTGCAACCCTATCTTCTTAGTACCACGCTCAATGATCGCTCGTGTCTAGATATCTAGCAAGCAAAAACTAGGAAACATTAGCACAACACAATCAAGTTCTTCAGTGACCTGACTAATTGACAATAGATGATTTGACAGGGCGCGAAGAAGTAGAACATTATCAAATGACAAAGAAGTTGTAAGAGTTATGGATCCCGCTCCAATAATAGAGACAACATCACCATTTTGCAATGACAACACTCTCATTAGGTAGATTTGTCATATATTAAAACAAAAATTGATCATATGTCATATGACATATGGCTCCGGAATCAATTATCAACATGTGTCATGGTCAGCAGAAGCTACTAAGGCAGTGCCGATATTCAGAGAATTGGTTGATTAAAGAAAGAACTGGGCCAGTATCATTATCATCTGGCTTATTGGGTTGGTTTTGCTCCACCGGATAAACAGGTCGAGCAAGGTTGTTGCTAATTCTAAACCTAACACGACCTGTGGCTACAGTAGCACGTCCAGGTCCCGCATCTGCCACCTTTGTCTGGCTCGCGTAATTTCCTTTTTCCTTAAGTTGCATCATTCTCTCAATAAACCACTCGGGGTAACCATGGAGTTCGAAACATGTTTCTTATGTATGCCTTTTCCCATTGCAGTGATTGCATTGAAGCTCTTCCTTCCCAATATCCGTATCAGTGTGGGAATAACGAGAAGTTGCAGCTGATGGTATCTTAGATCCAGCATGCACGCCATCATGCTAGGTGTCTCTTGTCAAGTTCCTGCCACATGCTTTTCAGCTCTTCATAGTATAAGTTTACTGGGTGACCATCTTGTCGAGTCTGTGTAGCCTTACATTGAAGTTCATAGTACTGGGACTCGTCCACTTCATCATAGATCATTTGGGTTATGCTCTCCCAAATGTCCTTTGCAGTTGGTGGATCGAAAGAAGTCTTAGCAAGTGAGGTTCTTTAGTCTTCAGCAACCATCCTTGAGCAATCGCGTCCTCGGTGACCCACTTCGAGTGACTAGGATCATCTTCTTCCGGTTCTAAAATTTTCATGGTCAAGTAGTATAGTTGTCCCAACTCGCAAGCATAAACCTCTAACATCTTTGACCAGATCTTATAATTCGAGTCATTGAGCTTGAACCCGAATGGTAAAACGTTGATGTTGGTGGACTAACTTGGGATGGGTACAGTTTGAATAGGAAATATCTCAGACTTCTTTTCTTCATCCATCACAGTGAAATCGTTGAGCATATGAATGAGAGTTTTTCTGGTACATTTTTGGATATGGATCGACGCTGCCTAGAGAACAAAAGGCGGCGCGTGTTTGTTTGGGTTGGTTTCAGGTTTCAAAACCAACTGGAAAGGGTTTGACTTGCTGCAATTTGCGCAACAGTAATAGATTTAGGATTAGGAAAGAAGCAGGTCGAAATCTGCTCTAATGCCAAAATAAAAGTTTATTTAGGGTTTTAAATACTTTTCGTTTTATTCTTCTCTCAATAGGAGCACAATATATATATAAGTACAATGATGTCAGGTAAATTGACTCACGTCAACAAATCTAATGCTCAAAATAAATTGGGGCCTTGGCTTGCTCCAATAAGAATCGATTTTGGGTCACCGCTTGTTGTGGAAGACTGAGAGAAAGAAAGATAAAGTGGCGGTCGAAGACGAATGACGAGACGGGAAAGGACAGTGTGTGGCTGGAAGCTGTAGGCATTAGGGGTGGGAACAGACCAAGCCGGACCCAAAATTCGAGAACCCAGACCGAACCCGTTTGGAAATAAAACGGGACAGGGGCAGGGCGGGTCGCATTATTTTGAAAAAATGAATCAGTCGGCCAATTCCTATGAGTCCACATTTGGAAATGGAACCATATGCCCAACGACAAGACCGTCGGTCGCGGCGACGACACCTTCAACACATTCTTCTCCGAGACCGGTGCCGGCAAGCACATCCCTCTCTCCATCTTTGTCGATCTAGAGCCAACCGTCATTGACGAGGTCTGGAACAACTACTGCCAGCTTTCCACCCTGAGCAGCTCATTTCCGGCTAGGAAGGCTCCGCCAACAACTTCCCATGTGGTCACTAGACCATCGGCAAAGAGATCGTTGATCTCTGCCTCAACCGCATCAAGAAGATCGCTGACAAATGCATCTGTATTAGACGCAAAGCAGTTATGGGCAGATTGGGAAAGATGGCAGAAGAGAGAATGGTTGGGTCTGCATTTTGTGGAGGATTATAGGGTCACACCTATGAAACTTAATGATGTCATGGACACTTTGATTATGAGAAAGTTTGGATCTGTGGACCAGACAATAATTGGTGTGGGTGTGTAAAGGGGAGACAGAGTTCGTAGCACAATGACCATGGCATTTGGTGTGGAAATCGAGAAGGTTGATGGATATAGTGTTTGCAATCGCATCAAAGTTGAACTGGGATAAAGACTCTGTGCACATTGAGAGAAAGAAGAAAGCATAGAACAAGGAGCTTTGGCCTACCCTTGGTGCAGACACTTCACCTAATGCATTTCTCTCAACCCTACTAAAGCAACTCCACCATGGGAAAGGCTTCCAGGCTATTCATTATTTAATTTACCTAGTGAACAGTAACTGTTCTTAATGAACAATAGCAGTTTTTTGCATCTCTACCCTTATATTGAATAGCCCTGGTAACAGGTAATAAAATATTAGTATTTTTTTTATTTATAAACTAATACAAAATAATTTTATTTGTAATTTCGGATAAGATTTTAATCGTTCTCGTTGCGTCATATGTCATTATTCGAAAAAGACAATTATTGGTGATGGATTTCGATAAGATTTTTATCTAATGCTGTCGTGCCATGTGTTGGTATTTTTTAAGAATCGTTGATGATAGATTTCCGATAAGATTTTTAACCAATCATGTCGCGCCACGTGTCACAATCTGTTTACAATCTTTGAGGATAGATTTTGATCAGATTTTTAACGAATGACGGCTTCCCACATGGCATTATCTACAACTTGATCCCTTCTGAATCCTCTATATAATCCACCATCCATCCTCAGAAATCTCACATCAATTTTCTGAAGATCTCTATCATTATTCATAGTTTCTGCTTCCTTCTTCACCAAAATCAAAATTTGTATCATTATTCATAGTTTCTGCTTTCTTCTTACAATGTCTTCTTCTTCAAGGATGATGTGCGAAATCGATCAGCAAGAGGAAGAATTGTTTAATCAATCAGAAGGAATGTTCAATCTCTAGTTGGCCCAAAATGAGAGGGAAGAAGATGAGGAGTGTAGAAGGAGATATGACAAGGCAAGAATGGGCAGAGCCTCACATTCCCGTCAAGTCATCCAAGATGTGGATCAGATCTACAGGCTCAGTCGTTCCAGAAACCTTGATAGAAGCAGGCAACAACGAGGTACGAAACTCTTGGACGATTATTTTGTCTGTAATAGTGCATTCTCTGATACATACTTTAGACGTCGTTATACAATTACATGAAGTAGTGAATTTTTGTGTTTTTACAAAGTGACCTCAAAAGTTTGTATTTTGCAATATAGCCCAAAAATTGAGGTTATTACATTTTGGCCTAAATTAGTTGAGAACAAAATAATTTTGTATCTTTAAATGAGAATTGGATTTTCATTTCATTTAGCTCCATCTAAATCAATTCTATGGATACAAAAACCAAATGACAATGTTGCATTCAATTTTAATTAGTTAAGGGGTTAATTAATTAAAAAAAGGGTGATTATGAACCTAAGCCTACGATAATTGAGCTATGTGAAAGGCCGTCTCTCAAATTGTTTGAACCATGGGAATGTGTAGATTAGATTTTGGTTGTAATTTGATATGATCAAATGTTGTAAAAGAGCATAAGCTCTTCTTTACTTTAAAGTAATTGTTTTGATCAAATATTGTAAAAAAGCATAAGCTCTTCTTTACTTTTAATTACTCCTTTCTTGTTTTATTTGATATGCAAGGAATTGGAGTAGTAGGGTCCAATGCCCAATAAGAAAAGACGCCTTAATGTGATTAAATGTGTAACTCAAGTCAATTATCATTCCTAGACCAAGATCCAACGCTAGGCTCATGTTGGATTGAATCAAAGGTTCATAGTCATCCTAAGGCCCTAAGGCAACTATATAGTCCATCAATGAATGCAAAGCTTATGTTAGTAGTACCATATATTATTGTTTTAAAAATGATAGGAGCATATTTATGCGCCTTAGTTAGCTAGTTCTTATGCATTTTTGTTATGTTTTCTTCGTTAAAGTAGTCTTTTAAGCTACGTTCATGTGTTTTCAGGTTTAAAGGACATATTACATGAAATGATGCAATTTGGAGCAAAACTGAGCTGGAATGTGGTGTATGCAAATAGAGCACGAGGAATGGACGTCCAAAACAATGCATCACACAATCTTCCTCCTAAGCCGTGCATCCCACCATTCCTATCTATCATCCATAAACCCTAATTCCCTTTAATCCATAGCCTTCCATTTAATCCAACCATTGATCTATGAAACTATCTCATCCATTCATCCTATTAACCCTAGTTAAACATTTTATTCCACCATATTCCTCCATATATTTACCCTAAACCGTGCAAACCATTTCCCATTATTTTTCTAAACCATTTCCCATTATTTTTCTAAGCCATATCCCATTATTCTAATTCCCACCCAAAACCCGCGCACTCCCGTTTCTCCCTATCATCCGTGGCATCCATCACCCTAGTATATCATTACACCTCCACCATTCCATTATTAATCAGCCGTGTTCCATCCACTTCCCATGTTTAATTGTCCATTCCCATTATCCAATTCAAAACCGTGCATTGCCATAATCATTCCACCATCCGCACTAGTCCACTAATTTCCCATTATCCATATATTACCATTCCACTAACCCTAATGACTAAGCCACTAACTTCCCATTATCCATATACAATCCATGCACTATCATTAAAACCTAATTTTTCTCTAACAGCCGCAAGATATAACCACCATTTTTCCTATTTTTCTTCTCAGCCGAGATTCCCCCCCATTTCTTATTTATTCCAATTTTTTTTACTCAACCACCTTGACTCCCCATTACTAAATCCATCATCCGTGCATTCCAAAAACCTAACACTAATTAGGCCATTCATTCCATTTACTTCCCATTATTCTCCCCCTAAGCCGCAAGCCATTCCCTCAATTCAGAAATCAATCCGTGCCATTCCCCTACCATACCAACCTTCCTCCATCACCTTACACACCTTCCTACACCACCAATCCTCCCTAAATCCATCCCTAACCCAAAATAAAATCCAAATCATCCATTTAACCTCACTGCCGCAGAAGGAGAAGAGGAAAGAGGAGCTTCGACGCGCACCAATTCACGTGGATTCGTTGGGCGTTCTAGGTGTAATCAATCCTTTGTGCTTTATGTTTAAATTCATTTGTAATTCTCTTTTTGTGAACATGAGAGGCTAAATCCCCCTAGTTAGCTAGGGGGTGATTCGAAACCATGATTATACTTGCAATATGAATTGATTACTTTTGGTTGGGATTTCATGAATGTTGGATTCAATTTGTTTAACCGTTTGATTGATAACTTATTTATGAATGTTTATTAAGAATGCGCGCTTAATTTTCATGCATAAATATGACGCTAGAATATAAGTGAATTTCACCTAATCGTTATGAACTTATATTCACAAGTAGTGGAGGTTGCTTATAAACAATCGCGTTAAATGAATTCTTGGCACGAGTATCATGCTTTTCATAGTTACAAATGCCTTGTCAATGCTTATAATTTCCAAAGAACGTAATGATTCTAACTTGTATCTTTATCATGCTGTTCATATAGAGAACTTGTTAGGAATAATTTGTTTGCAATGCATATTCATCCAATTCAATGATTCTAGGGAAATTTGAAGGTTAATTTAAGCGGACCTAATTAACTTGGAGTGTCGAGTTTCATAATTTATCGAAAGACCAACTGAGAATCAATTTTGTATGCAAGTATAACATATGTGGAGATGAACCCCTTGGCTATTCCATCATTCCATATTTCATCACATTCATATTTAAATTCTACCTTTAAATTACAATTTGTGCATTTAATTTATTTTCGTCAAAATCTCAATCCCCCTTTACTTTAGTGTCCAATTTAGTTAGAAAGTGTCTTAGTTTGTGTTTATAAGTGTTTTGTATTCTTTGAGTCTTTTGATTTGTTTTAGTGTTTTAATGTTTGTTTTACATTTTTGAGTCAGTTTCCAAGTGATTTAGTAATCCCTCCTAATCCCCGGTTTAGAACGATCCCTACTTATACTTATACTACAATTGACAAAAAGAGGGTTTAATTTGTGTGCGTATAAATCTCGCATCAAATTTTGGCGCCGTTGCCGGGGATTAGCAACTTTGCTAATCCCTTGGATTGTTTTATTTTCGTTTGTTTTTATTTTTCTAGATTCTTAAATTTGTTTTGTTTCTTGTTTTTAGGTACTAGTTCATGACTCGGAGTTCTCATCCGATTCGTGAACATATCCTGGAGTGATTGGGTTCTTCGTCCGGCTGCAAGACGTAAAAGAAAGCGCTACTTGGGAGGCAACCCAATACAGTGAATAAAGCTTGTTTATTGATTTCCGAGTGAACAAAAAAAAAAAAAAAACATGGCAGAAAGATGGAGTCTTCATAAAGGTTGTGTACTTGAGGCCCCACTACGTGGCAACACTCTCGGAGCAGGAGGCATCGGAACAGGAGGTCTCGGAGCGGAAGGCATAGGAGCGGGAGACACCGAAGAAAGATCATTCAAGGCCTCAAACCTTGGTGGAACGCTGGATGACCCAGGAAAGAGGTGCCTCTGGAAGAAAGCTGCAAACCGTTGACGGTCATCAAGCTCATCAAGCTTCCTCTTCATGCCTGACGAATAATTGTTGGCAAGCACGTGCAAACTTCGGTTCTCGTACTTAAGCTGTTTGATCTCCTGCTTAAGACTCTCCACCTCCGCCATCAAGGATTCAACCTGACGGGAGCGAGCAAGAAGGCGTTGGCCCATGTTGGACACAGAGCCAGCGCACTGAACGCTAAGAGCCAAGGACTCTTGAACGGCCAACTCATCGGACCGTCCAGAAAGCAGCTGACTGTCTTTGGGAGTGAGGAGGTTCCGAGCCACTATCGTAGCCGTTGTGGGATTCGTCATCACAGAGTCCTCATCTGTAAGAGGGCCATGGGAAGATAAGAAAGACGGGCACCATACCTTACCCTGACGAGACGCGACCGGATCACTGCTTAGACTCAAATCTAAGCAAAGGTTCGATGGGTTGGATGAGCTAGCCATTGTTCACTAAGTTAAAAGAGAAGGGGTGGACGGAGTAGATTTTCAAACGGGCCGGAGACGATTTCTGGGCAATTTTCAAGTGTGCATGCTAGAGGTGATCAATCACCTCTATTAAAGGAGAGGCGTTCACCAATTCAGAATGAAGA